AAAGGGTCCCCGCCTCTCGGACTTCGCCGGGTGCGGAGGGCGGCCCCGCCCATCCCTCCGATCTTCTTACAGCAGCGCGGCGCGGGGTTCCCGGGGGAGGGGGGCGACCTCCGCCTCAGTCTTTGTTTAGATAACCAGGGGGAACCCCAGCTCGGAGGAGGCAGCACCCCTCCTTCACCCTCCCCACCCGTTCCGCTGCCAGGGCACCGCTGGGCAAGGCCCTGGGGGGTCAGGAAGAACCGGGTGCTCTGAGCCCGAGGTTCCCTGGGGGACTCGTGCGGGAGTGACCACCCTCCCCCACCATGTGGCAAGGTCATTGCTCCCCTCAGTTCACCTCCACCTTTTGGGAGACCCCTGCCTTCCTCAGGCTCACTGTGTCTGGCCCAGGGCGTGGTTCCCACCAAGTCCCTGGGTCACGCCTCCTGCAGGCAGAATGGAAATCATGACCTGGAAACATCTCCTTGGGCAAGAGAACTCCACGGGAGGGCTCCTGGGCCCGGTTCTAGTCAGGCTCTGCCCGTGACCTTGGGCCGGGCTCTGCCCCTCCCAGATTCCAGCACTTTAGTGTAGATTGAATGGATTAGACCAGGTCATCTGGGGGGTCCCGATGGCAGTGGGGTGGGAGGTCAAGAGCATTCTGCAGTGCCCCCCCCCCCACCACCACCACCACCTGGGCTGGTTTGTGGTGAAGCCGCCCCAGCTGCTCTGAGTGAGCCCAATCACCAGTGCTGACTGAGGAAGCTGCTAGGTTTGGTGGCCTCAGGTGGGGTGCACGTTCCTGCTGGAGGTGCAGAACATAAACTATAGGAGGCAGCAAGCTGGGGTTCTCCTTACAGCTCTGGGGGCTCACCTTGGGGATAGATGGCCTTGCCTCTCCATTTCCTCTTTTGTAAAAGGGGGTGGGAGGGAGTCCGTGGGGACAGAGTGAACTCCAATGTCCAAAACATCCAGGAGACTGTGTGTGTGTATCTATACAAGTGTGGAGCCAGCCCTGGAGGACACAGGCTGGTTCTACAGTTTCCTGGCTGTGTGGTGCCTCCATGGCACACTGGGTGGAACTGGGGATGATGCCGACCTCAGAGGGCTCCCCTAAGGATGAAATGATGGAACATAAAATGGTCAGTATAGTGCCAGGCACACGGTTGAAATGTTCAGTAAACAGTCATCTTTATTATTTAAAAACAATTTTTTATTGATTGATTGGAGAGAGAGAGATTTGTTGTCACTTGCTTATGCATTCATTGGTTGCCCTGACCGGAGACCGGACCCACGACCTTGGTGTAGTGGGATTGCCTTCATTATTGAACATGAAGCTGTTATCATTGCATTAGAGATTCTGTCAGGCTTTCCTCAGTTCTACCCTTTTCAATAACTTCAGGCCTAGTCATTGAACAAACCAATTACTGATGTTCTAATGACATAATCCATGAGGCGCAGCCTGTTCTGAACGCCTCAGGGGAATCCAGGCCCCAGGAGGGTGTGTGAAGCTGCCTAACAAGAGCTCTGAAACCATGACTCATCTGTCCACGTGTGGGATGGCGTCTGCCGTGGCCTTGACCTAATGCAGAGAATCCGCTTGGCTCAGATAATCCACGGATCTAAGGGAGCATTCAAGAGGGTTAGGTTGCAGATTTGCACCCTAACAGTGGAGACAGTAGATGATGGGGAAATGTGGTTGTAAGGACACCCCGCTTCCGGGGGCTGCTGCTGCAAAAAAAAAAGGTGCTCAGGGGAGAGGCAGGTAGAGGGGCCCTGGCCCCTTGTGGAGGATCAGTCAGGCCTGGCAATGCGGGGTCCCCTAGGAATGATGGAAGGGCAAGCTCTCACCCCTCCTGCTACAGGCTCCTCACCCCTGCGAGGGGGGCATGGTGTTTGGGGACAGGCTGGAGGGCAGGGTTTTTAACGGAGGGAAGCAGAGCACGACCCCGGGTCCAGCTGTTGGCTGGGGTGCGGGGGGGGCCCTCAGATGTGCCCTCCAGCCTTGCTCCTGATGACCTGAAAGATGCTGCCCAGCTCACTGCCTCCTCTGTACTTGCCTTTCCCCGTCTGTGAAACGGGCAGGTTGGCCTGCATGGCAGCTGGAGAGGAGACTGCCTTTCTGAAGATCTCTCGGAACCTCCTTTCCTCATGGGGGAACTCCAGTCGGGACGGTTGCAGGAAACAGTGGACCTACGCTGGCTAGTTTAAGCAGAAAAGGGGCTTCGTTAAAAGAGGGTGCAGCTCGCGGGACCTCAGGAGTCACACCCAACACTGCAGCCTTGGTCTGGTGTCAAAACTACTGCCACCCCTGGGCACAGACGCTGCAGCCACCGCAGCTGCCCCAGGGCAAGGACACAGGGGCACGGCCATGGGGCCCACGGCTGCCTCCGGAGCCCGAGGGGGTGTGGCTGCCACCGCTGCCACCTCACCACAGTGGGTTCCACGTGGCCTTGTGTCACCAGTTTCCAATTCACAGTCAAAAATGGGCGTGTCTGCATTGGAGACAACTTGGGTGGATCTTGAGAGTATTATGCTCCGTGAACTTCATCAGACGGGAAAGGGCAAGAACCCTATGATTTCACTCCTCTGCGGGCGCTAACACAAAAACAACACAGGAGCAAACAATGAGGGAGGGGAAGGTAAAGGGGGTGACAGATACGGTGACAGGAGGCTAGGCTTTGGGTGGGGAGCACACAGTTGAGTATACAGATGTTGTCC